CTTCAAGTGCACCGGTGAGGGTGGAGTAATTCGGGTCACTAAGGGTGCATTAGTAGTGATGAAAGGAGTCAAGAGAGGTACCTTGTATGTGCTTAGGTAGCATGGTTGTTGGATCAGCAGCACCAGCCCTTAATCCTGTAGAGAATGAGTCAGATTTGACAATCTGTGGCACACGAGGCTAGAGCATGTTAGTGAGAAAGGCATGGTAATTCTCAGCAAGAAAGGACTTCTTGGAGGTCATAGAGTTGCTGAATTGGGCTTTTGTGAGCATTGTTTCTTTGGAAAACAAAGGAGAGTTAGTTTTTCAAAAGCTGTCCATACAACCAAGTCGACTTTAGATTACCTTCACGCTGATTGTTGGGGTCCCTCGCAAGTTCCCTCATTTGGTGGTGGTTGTTACTTCCTCTCAATTATTGACGACTACTCTAGGATGACTTGGGTATTCGTCGTGAAGCATAAGAGTGAGTCTTTTGAGAAGCTTAAAGATTGAAAAGTTCTCATTGAAAATCAAGTTGGGAAGAAGATAAAGCGGCTGCGAACGGACAACGGATTGGAGTTTTATTCAAGTGAGTTTGATCAATTTTGTGAAGATGAAGGAATTACAAGGCACCGAACGGTTAGGCACACTCCACAGCAGAATGGAGTAGCCAAAATGATGAATAAAACGCTGCTGGAAAGAGTGAGATGTATGCTGTCAAATGCAGGGTTGACTAGAAGTTTTTGGGCAGAAGCGTTAAACACGGTTTGCTACTTGGTGAATAGATCCCCGGAAACGACAATTGATTGTAAAACTCCTATTGAGGTGTGGTCGGGTAAGCCAGCTGATTACACGGGCTTAAGAATATTTGGTTGTCCTTCATACTACCATGTTAGTGAAGGAAAATTGGAACCAAGATCAAAGAAGGGGTTGTTCATGGGATACAAAATTGGAGTAAAGGGCTGCAAAATTTGGTCTCTTGATAAAAGAAAGGTGATTCTCAGTCGTGACATAGTGTTTGATGAGGAGAGTATGTTACGTGGCGTGAGGTATTCATCTACTCCAAGTGTTTAAGAGGAGAGTGTGTCCGAACAAGTGGAGTACGAGTTAAATGGTCCTGATGAAGGCGAGAATACTGCTGGAAAGCCCAGTAACTCGCCTCAAACTGAACCTGTTGTGCCCGAAAATCAGCACCAACCTGCAGAATTTCGATCTATAGCATTAGATAAGCCCAGAAGACAAGTTGGTAGGCCAATTCGATATGGTTTGATGACATGGTGGCCTGTGCTTTGCAAGTTGCTGAAGAAATGGAGTTCTTTGAGCCATCTACTTACAAAGAAGCAATCACAACGAAGGAGGCTAATGTGTGGATAACAACCATGAGTGAAGAGATGGAATCCCTTCACAAGAATAGAACTTGGGAATTAATGAAGTTACCTCAAGGCAGAAAAGTTGTGACCTGTGAGTGGATCTTTAAACGGAAAACGGGGCTGCGAGGAGCTGAAAGTGTGAGATACAAGGCCCGTTTGGTGACTAGAGGTTATAGCCAAGTGCAAGGGGTTGATTATAATGAAATTTTCTCGCCGGTCGTGCGTCATACATCCATTTTCGGGTGTTGTTGGCATTAGTAGCACAAGCAAATTTGGAGTTGGAACAATTGGACGTTAAAACAGCTTTCTTACATGGTGAGCTTGAAGAGGAAATCTATATGAGTCAACCGTAGGGTTTTGTAGCTCAAGATAAAGAAAAATATGTTTGTAAGCTCAAGAAATCGCTTTAAATCTCCAAGACAGTGGTATAAACGTTTTGACAGCTTTATGGTGAGTCATGGTTTTACTAGAAGCCTTTATGATTGCTGTATATATCATAAGAAAGGTGCTGATGGTCACATGTGTATCTGCTACTTTATGTGGACGATATGTTAGTAGCTGCTCGTGATAAGGCTGAAATTAAGAAGTTAAAAAGACTCCTTAATTCTGAGTTTGACATGAAAGATTTGGGGGCTGCTCAAAAGATTCTCGGTATGGAGATTATCCGAGATAGATCTAGATGTAAACTTTTCTTGTCCTAAAAAAGTTACATTTTGAAGATACTTTCTCGATTTGGTATGGCTTCTGCAAAGCCTGTGTGCATACCTTCATCGGCAAATTTCAGATTATCAGTGGCTTTGGCAGGAGATTGTATTGTAGCTGAATTTTCAGATTCTGATTGCGCAGCTGACCTTGACACACGGAGGTCATTAACGGGATATGTATTCACTGTTGGAGATGCCTTAGTGAGCTGGAAAGTGACGTTACAGCCGTCTATTGCTTTGTCTACAACAGAGGCTGAATATATGGCTCTTATGGAGGCTGCAAAAGAAGGGATTTGGCTGAAAGGTTTGCTTTGAGATCTTGGGTTTCATCAAGATTAGACTGTAGTTTTTTGTGACAGTTTGAGTGCTATTTGTCTTGCAAAAGACTAGGTGCATCATGAGAGAACGAAACATATAGATGTTCCTTATCACTTTATACGTTCGGAAAGGAGAATTAAAGTGAAGAAAGTGAAGATTGATGACAATCCGACTGATGCACTAATGAAACCCATTTCTTTGAACAAGTTTAGGCATTGTTTAGATCTCCTAAACATTGATAGCGGGAAGTAAAACTTTTACTGTACTAGAATTAAAGCCAAGGTGGAGATTTGTTAAGTGTGGCTTTAATTAAAATAGTTAGTTTTTTTTGCTTTCATGACTTGGCTATTACCTATAAATAGGTTAGGTTATCCTCATTTGTGAATGATCCCAATTTCGAAAATAAGGTTCCTTCGATTTCCCAGTTCTTCCAAAATTCTCTCTACATCGTTTTCTCTAATTTCTTGACAGCTCGATTTTTCCCTCCATCTAAACGAACTCGACCTCTATCTCTAAAATTCGTTCTACCATAGTTGAATGGTCCAACTCGATCCCCCTCAACAATTTTCCTTCCAATTCTTCCACGCTTTTGGATGCCATAAGTTTCTAGACCAATTTGACAGAACCTCGACAAATTTTTAATAAAACGTGGACTGATTTGTAGAAACCTGTCAACTTGATAATAACAGCAGAAACCAAATTGTATTGAAAATGGACAAGTCTAGTTTGGCCTATATTTCAGAGATAAGCCAACTCTCCATGATGCTTACTTGTTCACTCACTTGTCTTTGGTCTTTTATAACGAAAATAGTATGACAATCTAATTCCCCTCCCACTCTATTTAAAGAACTCCCTCGCAAAGCAAATACTGAAATTGCATTGTTCAAGTAGTAAGTGGCTCTCACCGGCCTAAAAAAAACTCCCACTCGCTTGTCTATTTGACAAAAACATTTCTAAGTTGGGTGTTTGCGGAAATAGCCTTCCTACTCCCCAGGGATAGAGATAAAGTCTGCTGATATTTTGGCCGTGGGATATACTGAGTAGGTTTGGTTTGGTTTAACAAGGTAATGTTTGTATTTACATGATTGATAGCTATTTATGTATAGGAGATTAGCATAGGATAGTTTTGTACTTGATTCGATTATAGTTATTGAATATTGAGATATGCATCTTGGAAGAAAACCTACACTCTCGTAAGTAGGCAATTTTGTTTCCTTGTTGTTCTACCAATGAAATTGTTTTCCGGCTCTATCAATTTGATATTAGAGCATCTCGTCCCAGGACCAATGACAACGAAGCAAGTCGCTGAGTTGGAAGAAAAACCAGGGCATAAATCAAAGAGTTTAGATCTACGATATTCGCCTGGTTCACCACAATGGACAAAATATTTGCTTCCCTGTTAGAGTTTATATGTCAAATTGTTGTGACCCAAATCCCACAGGCTGATGGAGTGCAGGCCAAAAAGGGGCCGAGAGAAGGGGATGAAGTTCATTCGAATTCAATGGGCAAGGGGGAGCAGAGTAGGGACGGGTATAAAACCGTAACAAGAAAAAATGAATGGTCATCATGGATGGTACAGACTTGCAAGGGGATTTCATGTGTGGCTATGGCAAGGGCGGGGGACACGTCTCTAGGGGAGACAGAGGCATTCGATTGGGTAACAGTGTGAACAGGAATCATGGTGATGGATTTCACAGCGGTAATGGCTAACAAGAAGGACTGGCGGCTTCCTTATAGCAGTAATGCCACAAAAGGGCTCTTGCATGGAAAAGAAGCAAATGAGAGGGGAGTGACAAGCAGATGTGGCTAGAAAACACTTTGGGAGGATACCGCCAAGCTTAGGCTCACGTATCAAAGGGAGAGGGGGCCGAACAAGGGGCCTAAAGCCCTCAACTTACTGGCCTTCATTTTGGGCTTGAAGTGGGGCTTGAATACAAGTCTGATTTTAGTTTGGTAACAATTTCTATTTTGGGCAGTGAGAAGGGGATCCGAAAGCCTTTGAACCTTAGTTTCTCGTCATGGAAGTTGGGCTCCATTTTGAAGTTCTTTTATGGGTTCCATGCAAGGGGAATACAAAGGAGAAATTGGGATCCCGTGGACAAGCCAAACATCTCATAGAACCATATTTTCATAAACAAACCAAGCATATCATGGTTAATGCCATTTTATCAATGAGAAAGTAGTTGGAATCTCTCATGAACCCCCATCAATAGAACGAGTTTGGCTCGATGAGTATAGCAAGTTGCTGATGTATTGATGAGCAGGGACGGACCCAAATTTTTTTTCATACGATGGCACCATATAATTAATATAATATAATATACATCTAAAAATAATTACAAAAAATATGGTATTATAGTACCGATAAACAATTCCTAAACTTGTACCCGACGCGTCTTCATTTTTTGAAAATGGTCAATATATACCCAAAAATAATTACAAAAAGTATGGTTTTTATAGAATTGAGAAACAACTCCTAAATTTGTCCTCGGTGTATCTTCATCTTTTGGAAACGATCAATGACATCTTTGTTTTTAACATTACTAAGGGCTTCCTTTTCTATGGCACAAATGAGGGCATAATTCAAAAAATCATCACCAATTCGATTACGTAAATCTGTCTTGACAAGCTTCATCGCCGAAAAGCATCTTTCAACAGTAGCAGTTGCAACAGAAAAACCAATGTTAGTTTCAATAACCGGTAGACTAAAGGATGAGAAAGATGCTTTCTTGTTGCCACCATTAATCTGGCKAGGTCGGCAATACCGTTTAAGTTGGCAAATCTGACATCATTATAAACAGAATGATAGTAGATGTCAAGTTCGTGCTCAAGAATGATCCTTTCCTTGTCTTCAAAATCTCGGGGATACATATGACTCAACTTCAATAGGCTTGATTTGTTAAACTGAGAAAACGAATTGCGTGGATTCAGAGCTGCCATGTTTTGAAGCAAGTCGCTGCTTATCTCACCAAAACGATCACCAAACTCTCGGATCTGCATATCCAAAACAGTGTTGAATATATCATAGTTATAATAATGTTGATTGTTAATGTTCATCCTTTTCCTTGAACTTTTTGTATTAACATAAGCTTCAGCCATATCCAACTTCACAATCTTATGTTTATCACAAAAAGAGTAGCATTTCTCCAAAACTTGATCAAACCCATTTTCTCTCAACATTTGTAATTGACCTTTGGTTGTTCCTATCAAATCAATAGCTTCCAAGATGTCTTCATCTTTCCTTTAAAGAGCTTGAGACAATGAATTTGTTAATCCTAAGATCGTTCATATCAAGTGCGTATAAAAGACAAATTCAAATGTCTTTAAGTATTATAAAAGATCTCTTGCTTGAAGCCGACTAGCTCCATTATCACCATCATCTTCGACCTATTCAAGCACCTGTATAACCTCTGGAAACAAAGCAATCAAACTCACGATTGTTTGAAGATGAGAATTCCATCGTGTATCTCGAGCTCGGACAAGGGAAATCTCTTGGTTTAACCCCTTACCAGTCTCAATTTCGTTATTTCCAATTTCTTCTTGAATTCTCTCTTTGTGACTTTCTCGTAGCATATCTTTTCGTTTGCAAGAAGAGTTTACAACAGTAACAACCAACGCAAGCAAATCAAAGAAGACCTTAATACCTTCGTGTTTTTTTTTTTGCAACCGCCACAACTACTAACTGAAGTTGATGGGCAAAACAATGTATATAAAATGCCGAGTCATTATCGCTCAAGATCAAAGCTTTCAACCCATTGAACTTACCATTCATGTTGCTAGCACCGTCATAACCTTGTCCTCTTACCTATTTTAAAGATAAATTAAGCTATTTAGCTAAATATTCAATGATATAATTAAGACTTAAAGCAAATAAATTATTAAGAAACTTTTTTACCTTTGTGAAACTCAATCCATGTTTTGCAAATAAAGCATCCAGGGCAGATTTAAGACTTACAGCAGATGTATCCATGACATGAAGAATGCCGAAAAATCTTTCTTGAACACAAATCTTTCTTGAACAACTCCGACTTTGTCAACAAACCTCAAAACCACGGCCATTTGTTCTTTTCTAGAGACATCACTAGACTCATCCACCAACAAAGCAAATACATCATCACCAATTTCCCCAATAACGCCTTTCAACACCTCTTCTGCAAAGCAAGTAACAAGATCTTTTTGAATCTTTGGAGATGTCAATTGATTGTTCTTCGGAGCATTTTGTAATATAACCTTTTCAGTCTCCCCATTTGTTCTTCCGATTAATTTTAAAGTCCCCAAGAAAAGCCCTTTGTACATAGACTTTTCCGACTCATTGTTGCCACGAAATCGTAAAGCATTCTCCAACAAATATCTACAAACTTCAACGGGAGCATTCAATCGCATGTGGTACTCGGTCTTCATGAGTTCTGTTTGTTTACGAAGGGCAATAACAATTGATTGGTTTTGGTTAACCAAATCTTCACATTTTTTAAGTGCTTTATGGTGAAAACTATTAACCTCACCCTCATGATGCATAAGTCTATCTTTTTTACTCCAACTATTGAATCCCTCCGCCACAAATGCCTCTATCCCATGATTCCCACCTTGGTCTCTGAACAAGTAACAAGGCAAACAATATGCTCTGTCTACTTTTACACTGTATTCCAACCATTGAAATTGATCAAACCAAGTAACAACAAACCGTCTTCCTTTAGCCCCTATAACTTTGGTTGGAAAGATGTGACCTCGTGGTTGAAAAGGACCCCTTACCAAGTATTGCCGTCTAATTTCGTCTCTTTGATTTGGGTTATAAATTATAATTTTGGTTCTCTCTGATGGATCCCAAGGAAGATCGTTAACATCAATCACATTGTTGGATGCATCATTATTACCGGTTGATGATGAAGCTTTTCGTTTCAAATATTTTTCCATAATGAATGAGTTATGTAAATCTAAGTAATGAAAGCAATAATAAGTAATCAGTAATGAGTAATGTAAATTAGTAAATCTAATCAACATCTGAAAACTAAACATCATCAACTAAACTAAGTAATCAACTAATGAATTGATCAATTTGTATTTTGTAACTCAGTAGTCAGTAACACAGTGTCACAGTCTGTCAGTCAAGTAGTCAACAATTCAATTTTATTCAATCATCAATTCATCATCAAATTCAAGAGTTAACTTAAGTAATCACTAATCAAGTAGGTAATCAACTAAAAGTCTAAGATTAAGAGTAAAAATGGATACCTAAAATGGGTAAATATGAAAATAGAGATCAAATCATCAACTCATCAAGTGAGAATCGTTCGAGTGAGTCTTCAACTCTTTAAGAATCGTCAGAGCAGAGTGAGTCAGTATCGAGTCTTCAAGACTCGTTCCAATCAATGAATCGAATCGATTCTCGCTGTCCCTGGTAGTCGCCTTGTCAGCTTGTCGTTGTCGCTCACTCGCTCATTCGCACCAGATCCTTCGTCGTCACTCACTCGCACTCGCAGCAGGTATACGCGTTTAGGGCTTTGGGCCTTAGGGCTTTAAGCCTTAAGGCTGTTGCAGACTGTAGTTCACTTTATTTGGGCTTACTTATTTGATTATTCTATTTTTTGGGCTTTGCAATTTGCAATTTGGAGATGTCAATTGGGCTTTATTTTGTTTTGGTTTTAGTTGCACTGTTTGAATTTCAGGAAAATACAGTAGCACCTTCCAAAACGATGTGGTAGCACCGTTAACAAACCTAAATTTTTTACCCTTCGGTGGCTAAATAATACGGTGGCACGTGCCACCCATGCCACCACACCAGGTTCGCCTGTTGATGAGGCCACTACAAGGTCCACAAATAGCCTTATGTGGATGAGTTGGGCATGTTGGCATGTATGGTCAAACTTGAGGAGTATCACACATAAGATTAAGCAAGTCTTTTTAATTCTATTATTGTTGCTGTGCTCACAATTAAGGTTTCATGTCTCAACCCATGACTCTTAGGTGCTATTTTATGAGGTGCTGAAGTCTTGAAGTCTTATTTCATTTTTTACTGATAAGAGTTGGTGTTGAAGTCTGAAAGCAAATCAATAACATTGTTTTTGTTAACGGTGCTACCGTATCGTTTTGGAAGGTGCTACCGTATTTTCCTGAAATTCAAACAGTGCAACTAAAACCCAAACAAAATAAAGCCCAAACAAAATGCAAAGCCCAATTGACATCTCCACTTTGCAAACTGCAAAGCCCAAAAAATAGATTAATCAAATAAGATAAGTAAGCCCAAATAAAGTGAAATGCAGTCTGCAACAGCCTTAAGGCTTAAAGCCCTAAGGCCTAAAGCCCTAAACGCGTATACCTAGTGCGAGTGAGCGACGACGAATGATCTGGTGCTAGTGAGCAACAACGACAAGGCGACAACCAGGGACAACGAGAATCGATTCGATTCATCGATTGGAACGAGTCTTGAAGACTCGGTACTGACTCACTCCGCTCGGATGATTCTTGAAGAGTTGAAGACTCACTCGAACGATTCTCACTTGATGAGTTGATGATTTGCTCTCTATTTTCAGATTTACCCATTTTAGGTATCCATTTTTACTCTTAATGTTAGACTTTTAGTTGATTACTTGATTAGTGATTACTTAAGTTAACTCTTGAATTTGATTATTGAATAAAATTTGAATTGTTGACTACTTGACTGACAGACTGTGACACTGTGTTAGTGACTATTGAGTTATAAAATACAAATTGTTCAATTCATTAGTTGATTACTTAGTTTAGTTGATGATGTTTAGTTTTCAGATGTTGATTAGATTTACTAATTTACATTACTCATTACTGATTACTTATTATTGCTTTCATTACTTAGATTTACATAACTCATTCATTATGGAAAAATATTTGAAACGAAAAGCTTCATCATCAACCGGTAATAATGATGCATCCAACAATGTGATTGATGTTAACGATCTTCCTTAGGATCCATTAGAGAGACCCAAAATTATAACTTATAACCCAAATCAAAGAGACGAAATTAGACAGAAATACTTGGTAAGGGGTTCTTGTCAACCACGAGGTCACATCTTTCCAACCAAAGTTATAGGGGCTAAAGGAAGACAGTTTGTTGTTACTTGGTTTGATCAATTTCAGTGGTTGGAATACAGTGTAAAAGTAGATAGAGCATATTGTTTGCCTTGTTACTTGTTCGACCAAGGTGGGAATCATGGGATAGATGCATTTGTGGCAGAAGGATTCAATAGTTGGAGTAAAAAAGACGGACTTACGCTTCATGAGGGTGAGGTTAATAGTTTTCACCATAAAGCACTTAAAAAATGTGAAGATTTGGTTAACCAAAACCAATCAATTGTTATTGCCCTTCGTAAACAAACAGAACTCATGAAGACCGAGTACCACATGCGATTGAATGCTCCCGTTGAAGTTTGTAGATATTTGTTGGAGAATGCTTTACCATTTCGTGGCAACGCTGAGTCGGAAAAGTCTATGTACAAAGGGCTTTTCTTGGGGACTTTAAAATTAATCGGAAGAACAAATGGGGAGATTGAAAAGGTTATATTACAAAATGCTCCGAAGAACAATCAATTGACATCTCCAAAGATTCAAAAAGATCTTGTTACTTGCTTTGCAGAAGAGGTGTTGAAAGGCGTTATTGGGGAAATCGGTGATGATGTATTTGCTTTGTTGGTGGATGAGTCTAGCGATGTCTCTAGAAAAGAACAAATGGCCATGGTTTTGAGGTTGGTTGACAAAGTCGGAGTTGTTCAAGAAAGATTTGTGTTCAAGAAAGATTTTTCGGCATTGTTCATATCATGGATACATCTGCTGTAAGTCTTAAATCTGCCCTGGATGCTTTATTTGCAAAACATGGATTGAGTTTCACAAAGGTAAAAAGGTTTCTTAATAATTTATTTGCTTTAAATCTTAATTATATCATTGGATATTTAACTAAATAGCTTAATTTATCTTTAAAATAGGTAAGAGGACAAGATTATGACGGTGCTAGCAACATGAGTGGTAAGTTCAATGGGTTGAAAGCTTTGATCTTGAGTGATAATGACTCGGCATTTTATATACATTGTTTTGCCCATCAACTTCANAGCAACATGAGTGGTAAGTTCAATGGGTTGAAAGCTTTGATCTTGAGTGATAATGACTCGGCATTTTATATACATTGTTTTGCCCATCAACTTCAGTTAGTAGTTGTGGCTGTTGCAAAAAAACACGAAGGTATTAAGGACTTCTTTGATTTTCTTGCGTTGGTTGTTACTGTTGTAAACTCTTCTTGCAAACGAAAAGATATGTTACGAGAAAGTCACAAAGAGAGAATTCAAGAAGAAATTGGAAATAACGAAATTGAGACTCGTAAGGGGTTAAGCCAAGAGATTTCCCTTGTCCGAGCTCGAGATACACGATGGAATTCTCATCTTAAAACAATCGTGAGTTTGATTGCTTTGTTTCCAGAGGTTATATAGGTGCTTGAATATGTCGAAGATGATGGTGATAATGGAGTTAGTCGGCTTCAAGCAAGAGGTCTTTTATCATACTTAAAGACATTTGAATTTGTGTTTTATACGCACCTGATATGAACGATCTTAGGATTAACAAATTCATTGTCTCAAGCTCTTCAAAGGAAAGATGAAGACATCTTGGAAGCTATTGATTTTGTGAACATGTTTTCAAAATTGTCAAAGAAGACTGCAATTATCAAAGAAGGTTGCATATACAATTTCAAATATTGTGGCCACATTTATTACAATTTAGACAATTGGAATTCGGCGCCTGACTTTGAAGAATTAAGTTACATGCTTTCACAACAACTAAAATGTGCCTATAAAAGGGGAGGTTGATTCTTCATTTGCTGATCATCCCAAACACATCCTTTTTTCACAGAATACATATATACAAAATCCTTTGTATTGTATTTTTCTATTCCAACCTTGTAAACACTTCAACATATAGTGAATTGGTTCTCGGCTTCCTCCGCCCGTGGTTTTTTCCCGATTTGGGTTCCACGTAAATCCTTGTGTCTATCTTACTTATTGTCTCGGTTCTTTTCGTTCGTGATTAATTACGCTTGATTAAAATATTAATTCCATTCCGCGTCAAACTAATATTATTATTATTTGCTCGGATTCTTGGGGTGTGTTTCAAACACATTTACAACAATTGGTATCAGAGCATCCAGGTTTTAATATTAGTTTGTTGGAATTATTATTTTAAGCGTTTAATCATGTCTTCGATGAAGTTCGATATTCCGTTACTGGATCGAAACACAAGATTCCCTTTATGGCAAGTCAAGATGAGGGATGTTCTCATCCAGATGGATCTACATCAGGCGTTGCTGGGCGTTGACAAAATGCCCGCATCATGGACAAACGAAGAAAAGGAGATGCGTGGTCTGAAGGCTTTATCTCAAAGCCGCTTACATCTATCTAATGATGTATTGCAAGATGTTCTGAAGGAAACTTCTGCGGCTTCACTATGGCTGAAATTGGAGCAGTTACTAATGACGAAGAGCCTACCCAACAAGCTGCATCTGAAGCAGCGACTGTTTAATCTCAAGATGATGGAAGGTGGCTCTCTGTCCGATCACATTTCCATGTTCAAAGAGTTAGTCAATAACTTGGAGAACATGGATGTCCAGTACGAGGATGAAGATTTGGCTTTATTCTTGTTGTCATCATTGCCCGAATCCTACAGCCATTTTCGGGATACTATCATCTATAGCCGCGACACTCTTGTGTTAGATGAAGTTCTTACAGCCTTAGACTCTAAGGAGAAGATGAAGCAGATTACAGGTGGAACAGAAACAAAGGCCGAAGGCTTAAATGCCAGAGGCAGAACAACAGACAAAGGTAAAAACTTCCAACAAGGCAGATCCAAGTCTAAAGGCAAACAGAAGTTTTGCAACTATTGCCACAAAAAGGGACATACTA